TTTATTCTTGTTTCCACAAAAGATTTATTTTTTTTAATTTTTTTTTTTTTTTCTCTGCTTCCCCCTTTTTTTTAACTGTTTTACTTGGAAGAAGAAAAGGCCCAATGTGTGATTAGACACCAACCTATGGGCTGCAGGCAATGGCTCAGCTGAATGGTCAGAAACATAAACAGGATTGGAAAATCAAAGACAAGAAGCCTGTGGAAGAAGTGTGAGCACCGGCCTCTCTGAATGCTCACCACTGGCCTCAGGGGAGGAGGGTTAATGATCAAGTGGGTAGGACGACCTGCTCCGTAAGTAATAATCAGCCCCTGACTGAATAATAATTCACCTGAGGGGATCAGGAACAAGGTGGCCATCGTAGCAGGGGTGGAGGGCATGCACAGGCTCAGGAACATAGACTTTCAGTCACCAACACCAGCCTGGCTGTGCACACCACTAAAGGCTCCATCTGTCCACTCAAAGGCCAACACAGGGCCTCTGACAGACACCACTCCCCCGGGGTGATCAGCGGCTACTTGATGCAGGTTGATGACCCTGGACCACTCCCGTCATGGAGAGGGAGTGCTTTGTTCTTATTGGAAGAGACACCTACTCTGGGCACAGACTTGCCTTCCCTGCACAGGTGCTGCTGCAGCAGCTGCCGTCCCCTGACCACAGGGCCTGTCCTGCACCTCGGTTCCCCACGGGGCACTGCTCTGACTGAGGGCCTCACCTCACAGCACATGGAACGCAGCAGTGGGCTCCTGCCCATGGAGGCCACTGGTCTCACTGTCCGCAAACAGCTCGCTGCACAGAACAGTGAAATGGCCTTTTGGAAACTCAGTGACAGTACCAGCTAGGTGACTGTACCTTGCAGGGCTGGGGAAGGTACTCCAGGAAGACATACATGGTCTAAATGAGTGACGCTGCTTCTCCCAGAGCCAGGAATCACAGGTCCAGGGATCAGGGGGAGGAATAGGAGAGACACCACTCATTCTTACCTCTAACGATCCACTAGCACATGCCCTGACCCCTGTGCCCCAGACACCATGCTCTCTGCTGGCCTAGAGGGCTCAGTTCTGGCAAATGAGAGAGGCTTCCACCCAGAGACACAGCAGTGTCTCACCAGGACTCACCAGGGCCCCTCGCCCTCCAGCTCTCCAGACAGTGCAGCACCTTGGAGAGCGCCACTCCCAGCTCCACCCTTCCTCCCTCACTGGGGCCAGGGCTCAGAGCAACTGAGAGGTTGCTCAGCACAGAGATGGTGAGGGGGCAGCAACCACAAGGACAGCTGCCTGGAACAGGAACAGGGGAGGCACTGGCTGAGGCTGCCCACAGAGCCCAGGGAAAAGGAGGAGCAGGGCAGGAACCCCAGGAAGGGGGAGGGGAGGGCAGGCACACAGCATTAGGGGTTCTGCCTGGGCCCTGGGTGGGACTGTGGGTGTGAGGCAGGCTCAGGACCAGGACTTCACCCTCACAGCCCACGTGACAGAGAGCTCCCACCACAGCCCTGGATCAACGTGGACCCAACTCCCAACAGCTCAGTCACGGGCACAGGGCACACGTGAGGCCCAGGTCACAGTTAACTGCACAGGAAGCAGCTCCACTCAATCAGAACCACAGAGAAGTGTGTGGTGCTGTGTGTCCCAGAACCTGGGCCCCTGTCCTGGGCAACAGGGCCTGGGAATGAGAAGGGACAATGACTTGTCCATCCTGTCCCCTCTGCTCCCCTGACACAGACTTTCCCCTCCTGACACACCTGGTTCCTGCTCCTCCTTCTCCCCACAGACCCACCACCCAGCACTCCAGCCACACACACTGCTCCACCCAGGGGCACCCTCAGTGTAGCCTGCTGGAGACAACCACAAATAAATACACATTCCTGAAACTGTGAGCCTGGTGACATCTCTCTGAGGGAAGAGGCAGGGCCTACATACTTACAGGAACAGAGACTCGGACTCAAAGACATGGAACATTAACATGATATGTTTGGCCCCTGTGAAATGTCTATGAAATCTTGTCAAATAAACATGCTGACTGCTACACTTCCATCCCCGTCCACCAGAGGGAAGCAGAGATACGCCACAGATGGGAGCCACCCCCAGGGGCTGCTGCACCCTGGCCTCTCTCTCTTCCCTGGCAGCAGCACCAACAGACCAATAGGGTTTGACCCTCCCCAGCATCCCTCAGTCCTCACTCCTCACTGTCCAATCACTTTACATGGGACTCCGTCAACTCCTGCAGGTGTCTCCCTAGGCCAGCCCTCTGCAGGTAGCTGCTCTCAACACATCCTCCATGTCCTTCTAGGAGTGAATGACCACTCACATTTCAGGCCACACCCAAAAGACCTGTGAGTGACATCTCCTGGGAGTGGGGCGGGGCAGGCAGCAAAGCCCTCGCTCTTCTCACAGAGACCTGACAGGGAGCAAACTCTGGGTTCTCCACCCCAGAGAGTCACCACCAGGGAAGGAGGACGTTCCTCCTGACCACCAACATATCAGGGGATGACTCCCCCACCCACAGGTCCCTGGTCCATTGGGACCCCTGCCTGTGGTCTCCAGAAGACATCTCACCAGCCAGACCACAGTGTCCTGAGAACAAGAGGAATGTCCTCATGATGGGACTGAGGCCGCTTCCTTCTCATGCGGCCTGAAGGTCCCACAGGGCCTCCCCACTCCCTTCCCAAGTCTCCAAATGGAGCTGCTCCAGCTCCTGGGCCCTGTGAGGAGGCCTAGAGCAGATGACAGGCAGCGGCACAGATGACTTGTGGTAGGGACACACAGGACAATCTGTGGACCAGCCTCCAGGCTTGAGCCCTCTCCTGAAACACTCAAGAGACCCCTCACCTGGTCCTTCCTTCAAAACCTCGGGAACAAAGAGCTGCTCCTGAGACAACACATCCCCCTGGGAGACAGTTCTCCTGACACTGGATCAGGACTCTGCTGGACAACCCCTGTCTCCCACTGGACTCACTCTGCCCTGGCATGGAATCAGGAATCCAGTGACAAGAAACTGGGGTGACTGCCCACTTAGCCTGATGGTCAGAGTCCACTTCTGCCCAGTACACAGGGTCAGCTCCCACCCTCTGGAGCCTGGTCAGCATCCCTGGTACAGCTCTGACATGGGCCACAGGTGTCAATGACCTCCAGGGGGCGACATTGCGACACAGGAAACTAACATGTGAACCTCACTTTGGCTACTGAGGTAGAAAAAGAGCCTGATTTCCACATCACAGACCTTTCTGGGCCCATTCCACATGCCCACTCTGTCCCACTGGCTCCTTCTGGGGGCCTGGGAGCACCTGCTCCGCCAGGGGTCCCTGCACTGCTCCCCACTCCCTGTCTGGCACCACCCATGGGCAAGGCCGAGTGACCACAGGCAAGTCTCAAGTCCCCAGACAGAAGGCAGAGGCTGTCCCCATGGTCAGGGAGCATATAGACAGGATCACCCAACAGACACAGAGAGAGAAAGTCTCCCTGAAATTGCCCCCTGAGGACCAGGGAGCCCACAGCCACCAGACCACCTACCACCCTCTTTATTGCCAGGACACCTCTCCCTTCACACCCAGGACTGCAGGTCCTTCTGAGACACCCAGTCCTGGGTCTCTGTCCTTAGAATCAGAAGCCACACTGGTGACACCTGAACACAGAGGGTGGGTCCCCACACCAGTCATCACCCAGCTTGTCCCTCTGTCACCCCAGACTCACCTCTGTGACCTTCCTTCTGGGAGGACACCCACCTCCCCAGAGGATCTGAGAACCAGCGGGAGACCCGGTGCCCAGCTGGGCTCCTGTGTCACAAACAGAAACATCCTTAGGTTTGGGGGCCCCAGGGCTCTCTGTGTGGTGCTGACAGACCCCAGACCAGGACACAGCAGAGACCAATGCTGGGGGGACAGGGTTGTCCTCTCGGGGAAGGGTCTCTATCTGCCTCACTGTTAGAGTGTGCTCCCACGATCCTGTGATTTTTTTTAATAAACAAGTTTAGGTATTTACAAGAAATGTCAAATGAAACATTCTGATGGATTTATTAACAAGCAGTGGGTTCCCACTTCTGTATTTTACTCACTGCTGTATGCCCAGTTTCTGAAAACAGCTTGGGAGAGCAGTAGAAGCCCACTAAATATTTGGTAAAATGAAAAAATAAAGAAAGTGAGCTTCACAAGCCAGCAAGACTAACCTCCCAGAAAGCGGGTCAGATGCAGAGTCTCTGGTCCACTGCACCCCTGCAGAGTCAGGATCTGCAGTTTTTTAAAGATTTCATTTATTTATTTTTATAGAGAGGAAGGAGAGGGAGAGAAATACCAATGTGTGGTTGCCTCTCACACACCCCCAACCAGGGACCTGGCCTGCAACCCAGGCGTGTGCCCTGACTGGGAATCGAACCAGCCATCTTTTGGTTTGCAGGTAGAGGTTCAGTCCACTGAGCCACACCAGCCAGGGCAGCATCTGCATATTTAACAGGCCCTGCACACCCTCCTGCGCACAGAAGTGGAGCCTCTGCCCCGGCCCCTATTCACAGGGTCGTATCCTGGCGGGACACCCACCATTAGCAGGACAGCTGTGAAGCAGCATTTCTAAGGAGTCACCTGGCATCACAATCTTTACCAAGTTCCGCAGAAACTATGAACAGCGGGGTGACATTCCTGTGAAAAGTTTTCCTGATGTCACCTCAGGACTCCTGCTGGGGGGTGGGGTGGAAAGAACCATTAGGAACAAGAGAAGCCTGAGGGTGGCGCTACCGTTCACCCAACCTGCAGCTGTGGGGAGCGCCCCTCCACTCTGTCCGAAGCTTGTGAGCATCCACACAGGTCGTGCCTGCGCACGCACGCACGCACTAGGGTTGCTGGTGGAGGGGGAAACACCCCTCCACCCGCAAAAGGCAAAATGGGAAAAAGGAAAAAGGGCAGAGAGGGTGCAGCAGGTCCCGGGGTCTGAAAACTGGACAAAACAGAAACGGGACGGAGGAAACAGGGCAACCAGGAATGGGGGAGGTGGGGGAGGGACCTGGGCACTGACCACGCCCCAGCCCACGTGACTGGGGAGCACTCCTGACCTGGAGCAGGCTCTGCACACTTGGAGACAATTGGCAGATCGCACACTTCAGGTCAGCCGTGCCCGTGAACATTTGTGGAATCCAAGCTGCAGTCACAGAGGCAGGGACAGAGCAGGCAGCAGACGCCATGGAGTCCCCTTCAGCCCCTGCCCACAGAGGGCGTGTCCCCTGGCAGGGGCTCCTTCTAGCGGGTAAGGAGGAGCAAGCCCTGAGGGTGGACGGGAGGATGGGGACAGAGACTGGCTGGGTCCCCTGGGGAGGACAGGGGTCTGAGAGGGCACAGAGGGCTTCTGTTTGGCCCTGAGGGGAGAGGACAGGGAGCAGAGTAGGATGGGGTTTGGGGGGCTCAGCAGCAGGGAAATCCCATGACCTGAAAGTGTGAGGGGCAGCAAAACTGCAAGTATGTCTTAAAGGTTACTCACCACTGAGAAATAATTTCTGAAAACTGGTGAGAATAATAACCATTTATATCAGGGGTGACACCAGGAAAACGTAACCAGGGGCACTAAACATCCTTACCACCAACCTCAGAAAGAAGCAGATGCACCCCAGGAGGAGCAGGACCTGGGACCACCCAGTCATTGCCCCACAGGTGCTTCCAGCCTGTGGGAGGCACAGGGGGCACAACAGGGTCAGACACACCTCTGACCCCACGGAGCTCACGTTCTGTGGGGAGGAGACAGACAAGGAAAGATCTGGATGTGATGTCAGGTACCCACAGGGCTATGAAGGGACAGGTCAGAGAGTGAAGACACAGGGTTGCTAAAGGAGGTGGTCAGGGAAGGTGTCTCCCTAGCCCCCCCCCAGTATCTGCAGGGGTCTGAGGGCAGTGAGGGGGTGAGATGGGCAAATACCCAGGACAGAGTTATCAAAATAGAAGAAATAATAGGTTCAGAGGTGCTGAAGTAATGGTGGCCATGCTGCTGACCTTGACCATGGGAGACACACACACACACACACACTAAGCCTGAGAAATTAAGGGACCAGTTCAGGATCTAGGGTCTCATCTTTTCCCCTCAACACAAAGATTCAAATATTGATCAATTTCTCCTTTCCTCCTAGTCTGGCTGTTAACCTTCAGGAGCCCGCCCACCACTGCCCAATTCACTGTTGTGTCGATCAATGCCACTGAAGGGGAGGATGTGCTTCTCCTTGTCCTCAATTTGCCTGAAAATCTTGTAGGCTATACCTGGTACAAAGGGGAAACTACAGACAACAACCGTGTAATTGCATCATATGTAATACAGACTCAGAAATTGACCCCCGGGTCTGCACACAGCGGTCGAGAGACCATATACAACAATGGATCCCTGCTGTTCCGGAACGTCACCCTGAATGACACAGGATACTACACCATGCAAGCTCTAGAGGAAAGTTTGCAGGGTAACAAAACAACTGGACAGCTCCGTGTGTACCGTGAGTAATTGTTCTCTGCCCTCTGGGTGTGGGGTGGGGTGAATTCTACTCACACAGAGGACTCACACCCTGGACTCTGCCTCCATCCCCCTCTGTTTCACGTCCCAGGGGGGTTTGGGCATTTAGTGCAGGACACACCCAGTGGAGACAAACTTCCTAAGATCAGAGTTCCCCTCCCGGAGTTGACCCCTGCACACATTCACTACAGAGAGAAGGACCAGTCTGTTGAGAGTAACTGAGCAGAAAGAGACCCAGCTCCCTGAGCCCTCCCCATGACCATGACCCTGAGAAAGACCCTGCGGGGCTCCATCAGGGGCTGGATCAAAGTGCCCCTGTGATCCTCACAGAGAAGCTCAGCCTGGGGGCCCCTTGCCAGACCCCTGTCGCAGGGATCCTGACTCTGCGGACATTGGGGAGCCTGTGTCAGGGTGGGTTTGTGCCTCTGGGCAGGACTAACTTGGAGCAACGGTTTCCTGGGTTCCCAAGTCACAAGGCTCATGAGCTGGTCACAGCCAGGAATCAGCCTCAAGGGCTGCATCTGGGCAGGGGTGGATCCTGGTTCTTCACCTGAGACTGAGTAGAGAGCACATGTGGACAAGGTCCCCAGGCCATTAACTACCTGCCCTGGGGGACATAGGAGACCCCAGAGGAAGATCAGTGTCCAGGGGAAAACAGAGAAGATGCTTCTCATAGCCCCCTCATCCACCAGGGTCAGAACAGGGCGACCTCTGTCGGGGACACAAACGGTAACAAAGACTGTTACCTGGGGCAGTGCCTCTGTTCCAAGTCTCAGGCCAGGAAATTGGGAAACAATTAAGGTTCTTGGTCCCTAAAGCTCTTGGTCCCTGGGGTCCTTAAAGTCACCTATAACCCCCACTGCTCACCAGACATTTCTGGCTCTCTCTGCTCCTTCCATGTCCCTCATCTGCCCCCTCCTTCACTCCAGCCCCACTGCCCTGCTCTGCTCTGCTTACTCCACCCTGCAGGCTCCCCAGGTTCTCCTGCTCACACCTGTGCCCAGGCCCACCCTCCTGGGCAACAGGAAGGACACAGAAGTCAGTCAGAGCAGCAGCTCCTGGCTCCATCATGAGCCAAGTTCCCAGGTCACAGGAGAAAGGGCCTCCACTGTGCCCCATCCAGGGCTCCTTCCCTCCCTCATGCCAAGAACAAGAACAAGACACCTGACAAGGACATGTAACCATTGATCTACTCTCTGTGTGACTCTACCAGGGAGTCAAAGGCAGAAGGACAGGTCTCAGTCCCCAAAGCTCACAGGCTCATTTACTCCTGACTGGTGGCTCACATCTGTGTCCTGGTGTGAGGCTTCCATTCCTTCCAGGGACCTGGAGACTTTCCCAGCTGGGGCTGGTGACCCTGCCCCATCTGACTGGTTCACTGCCTGTGTCACACATGTGTCCTCATGAGGGACCTTTGCCATGGGGTAGGACCCTCTCAGACGCTAAGGTGCACCAGCCTCTGCCCTTTCTCTTAGGTGCAGCCCAGTTGGAATGAATTTGCTCAAACCCTAGTTTAGTTTCCTCAGTTAGAAAGAAAAGGAAGGGCACATGCCACAGCCTGTGTGTGGGTCCCTCCCCACTGGCCTGACTGTCCACAGAAACTGGTAACTGAGTCTGTCTTCCTGCATGTACTAACATAACATGTATGTTTTCCACCAATTTTGTGTCATCCCTCCCTTTGTGCAACAGACACACCTACACGTGCCCTCTGGTCACTTCTGTCCTCTTAGCAGGACTCACCTTCTCCCTCCAGAGAGTCACTGATTTTTTCAATAAATATTTTTGTTCTATTAGAGGTGTCCCCATTTTTCCCGCTTTGCTCTCCTTGACCCCACCCACCATATGCTCCCACAGATAAGCCCCACCCTGTTGTCTGTGCCCGTGGGTCATTCATACATGTCCCTTGACTTATGTCTTCCCACACTTATGTCTCTACCCCCTCTCCTCTGGTCACTCTCTGTTCTTCGTTTCCATGCTTCTGGTTCTATGTTGCTCATGTGTTTGTTTTGTTCATTTGGCTCCAGTCATAAGTGAGATGAGATGGTATTTGTCTTTCACTTCCTGGCTCATTTCACTTAGCATAATGCTCTCCACTTCCACCCATGCTGTTATGAATGGTAGGAGCTCCTTCTTTCTTTCTACTGCATAGTATTCCATTGTGTAAATGTACCACAGTTTTTGTACCCACTTATTTGCTGATGGGCACTTAGGCTGTCTCCAGCACTTGGCTACTAGAAATAATGCTGCCATGAACATTGGGGTGCATAAGTTCTTTTGAATTGGTGTTTCAGGATTCTTAGGATATAATCCTAGCAGTGGAATCGCTGGGTCAAGAGGCAGTTCCATTTTTAGTTTTCTGAGGAAATTCCATACTGTTTTCCACAGTGGCTGCACCAGTCTGCTTTCTCACCAACAGTGCACTAGTGTTCCCTTTTCTCCACAACCCCTCCAACACTTGTTGTCTGTTGTTTTGTTTATGATGGCCATTCTGACCAGTTTGAAGTGGTATCTCATTATGGTTTTGACTTGCATCTGTCTGATAGCTAGTGATGCTGAGCATACTTTCATATGTCCATGTGACCTCTAGATGTCCTCCTTGGAGAAGTATCTGTTCCTATCTTTGTCGATTTTTTAATTGGATTGTTTGTTTTCCTTGTGTGGAGTTATGTGAGTTCTTCATATATTTTAGTGATCAAACCCTTGGGTAAGATATCATTTACAAATATGTTTTCCCATACGGTTGGATCCATTTTCATTTAAATAATGTATTCTTTACCCATGCAGAAGCTTTTAATTGATGTAGTCACATTTCTCTATTTTTTCCTTTATTTCCCTTGCCCTAAGAGATACATTGGTGAAAATATTGCCATGTGGAATATCTAAAATTTTACTACCTGTGTTCTCCTCTAGGACATTTATGGCTTCACAGTTTATATTTAAGTCTTTTAGTCATCTTGAGTTTAGTTTGTGTATGGTATAAGTTGGTGGTCGAGTTTCATTTTTTTTTTTTTGCATGTAGCTGTCCAGATCTCCCAATACCATTTATTAAAGAAGGTATTTTTACTCCACTTTTGCTCCTGCCCCCTTTTCAAATATTAATTGACCGTAGAGACCTAAGTTTATTTCTGGGCTCTCTATCCTCTTCCATTAATCTATATGTCTGTTCTTATGCCAGTACCAGACTGTTTTGATTACAGTGGCCTTGTAATATAGTTTGATATCAGGATTGTTATCCCTCCTACTTCGTTATCTTCTCAGGATTGTTGAGGATATATGGGGTCATTTTAGGTTCCATATAAATCTTTGAAATATTTGTTCTAAATTTAAGACATATTCCATTGGTGTTTTAATAGGGATTGCATTGAATCTATAAATTGCTTTAGGTAGTATGGACATTTTAATGATGTTATTTCTTCCAATCCATGAGCATGGTACATACTTCCATTTGTTTGCGCCTTCCTTAATTTCTTTCTTCAGTGTTCTGTGGTTCTCCAAGTATAGGTCTTCTTGGTTACATTTATTCCTAGATACTTTATTTTTCTTGTTGCTATAGGGGAGTCACTCATTTCAAACCCACTGTAGCATCTTCCTTTGGTCACAGTGTGTCCCTGGTTGGACTCAGAACTTGGTCTGTGACCTTCAGTGTTCTCTTGACAGAGAGATTCCTCCAGAGACTGGTCTTAGATCTTTGGGACATAATAATGATTTTCACTTATTCTTGCACAATTTAACTCAAAGTTCTGTCTCATAATGCCAAACACAAGTGGTCCATGCGGGCCATAATTCAGCAAATTCCAGCTCCCCCACTTCCCACAAGTCACCCCTTCTGTAATTGCTGTTGTCTGAGTGTTTGAGGAAGGGTCCTGCCCACTGCAGTGGGAGACAGGACACTAAAGACTGAGGGCAGAGAGCCTGGTTCTGCTGCCAAAACCAGCCAGCTCCCCTGTCCCTCACTATATTCCAAACCACTCCTGAACTCTGCTCAACCCTTTCTGGAGTCACTGTCTCATGTCAGTCACCAGTGAAATAGTCACCAGTCCCGGGCACACTGCCCACCTCATGGCCCTGCACCCTCAGTCCTGAACTTGCTTCTGGTCTCCCTGTGTATTGTTTCTGCTCAACCACCCAGTCCCAGGCCACACGGCCCAGTCTTGTCAAGGTATAAGGACTATGGGATGGTTCTTCATGACTCATCTCTAGAATAACCTTGGAATATCAGGCTACCGTGGAAACACATCTTGACCCGGTAATGTAGGTCTGTGTAGCTTGAAGGGACTCAGCACCTGCACATTCTATATAAGATCTCAAGATTGGTCAGGCAGTCAGCTGGTCAGTGAAGAACCAGGACAAGTACCCAGTGGTCTCTTGACTCCCAGGCTTACATCTTCCCATGATCAAACCCCGATACTCTAATTGATTCCTGAGAAAGTCTGTACTTTCTCCAGACACAGACCTGGAGGACTTACGTTCTCAGAGTGCTCAGGTCAGATCCTTATACATCTGTTTGTCTTGAGATACACAGACATGGCTTATTCTTTTAAGGATTCAAGTTAGCTGAGAAGTGAGAGGTGCCAACTCTGATTGAAGACACCTTGAAAAAGTCAAAGGTACCACCCAGGGCAATGTTCTCTCTGTTACCTGCACAGTGGAGTTACCCAAACCCAACGTCACAAGCAACAACTCCAGTCCTGAGGAGCACAAGGACCCTGTCCTGTTAACGTGTGAACCTCACACTGAGGACACCACCTACCTGTGGCTGATCAACAATCAGAGCCTCCAGGACAGTGCCAGGCTGGAGCTGTCCACAGACAACAGGACTCTCACTTTGCTCAATGTCACGAGGAATGACACAGGACCCTATGAGTGTGAAACCCGGAACCCAGTGAGTGCTGGCCACAGTGACCCCTTCACTCTGAATGTTCTCTGTGAGTAACTTCTGCCCCTGTGTGGTCCAGGCTGCCACCCAAATCCACACACCAGAGGCCACACTACATCCCTCTCAGTCCAAGTACATAGACCCTCAACCTGGACCACCAGGCTGGCCATGACTTCTTGTCCAAGGAAAATCCAGGTGGGCCTGAGGGTTGGGACAAATGGGTTATCTCAGATCAGTGAACACAGGGGTTGTGGGTGGGACTTTTTACAACAAGACTGGGGCCCAGCTCAGAGGGACACTGTGGTCCTTACACAGACCAGAAGCATCCATCCCCTTCCCTCTGATGACATCATGTGTGGCTTTGCTCTGTTTGCTCCAGATGGCCCGGACACCCCCTCCATTTTTCCCTTGGACTCCCATTACCCACCAGGGGCAAACCTCAACCTCTCCTGCTATGCAGCCTCTAACCCACCTGCACAGTATTCCTGGCTTATCAATGGGAGGCCTCAGCAACCCACACAGCAGCTCTTCATCCTCAATATCACTGCAAATGACAGTGGATCCTACACCTGCCTCGCCCATAACTCTGTCACTGGCCTCAATACGACCACAGTCAAGAATATCACAGTGACTGGTAAGTGCCTCCTGGACCATCAGCACTGAGCTCTGGGGTGGAGGTCAGTCTGGTTTTCAGAAAAGAGCCTGGGTACTGACTCCATCCTGTGCCCATGGATATAGCAAATCACACACCCTTCCCCTGAACCCTCCTTCACATCTCTGTAGTCTCTCTCCTCCCCTTGCTCCTCTGATTTCTCAGGGCAGAGCTGGGGTCCAGGCTTGGAAAGTGAGGAGGGGGTTCTCTTAGATCCCAAAGCCCCATATGGTAGATTTCACCAAGAGGTCAAAACAAGTGACCTCAGGGTCAAGTTGCTTCTTCTGTCACTAACACATTCCTTCTGTCACTTCCTTCTTTTCTGTGACCCACTCCATGTGCTCAAGGGAACACAGGAGGCTTTGAGTCAAGCTCACCTCTTTCTCCCAAAACCAAAGGGTGAAACCCCCTCCAAGGAGGGACAGAAGGACAGACCCCTGCTCCCTACTCTGATCCAGGGTCACCTGGTGTCTGACTCTGCCCCTGTGCTGGGACAGGGGCCCTGGAGGAGTTGCACAGTTGGCCTGTCCTCAGTGTGGCCAAACAGCCACCCACCAACACCAGAGCCTCCCTTTGGCCAGACTGCTTGAAACAGCCACAATGTAGCAGCCTCTGAGCTGTATGCTAGCTTTTTATTGAGGTAGTCCCATTTCTCTATTTTTCTTTTATTTCCCTTGCCCTAGGAGATACATTGGTGAAAATATTGCCATGTGGAATATCTAAAATTTTACTACCTGTGTTCTCCTCTAGGACATTTATGGCTTCACAGTTTATATTTAAGTCTTTTAGTCATCTTGAGTTTAGTTTGTGTATGGTATAAGTTGGTGGTCGAGTTTCTTTTTTTTTTTTTGCATGTAGCTGTCCAGATCTCCCAATACCATTTATTAAAGAAAGTATTTTTACTCCATTTTATGCTCCTGCCCCCTTTTCAAATATTAATTGACCGTAGAGACCTAAGTTTATTTCTGGGCTCTCTATCCTCTTCCATTAATCTATATGTCTGTTCTTATGCCAGTACCAGACTGTTTTGATTACAGTGGCCTTGTAATATAGTTTGATATCAGGATTGTTATCCCTCCTACTTCGTTATCTTCTCAGGATTGTTGAGGATATATGGGGTCATTTTAGGTTCCATATAAATCTTTGAAATATTTGTTCTAAATTTAAGACATATTCCATTGGTGTTTTAATAGGGATTGCATTGAATCTATAAATTGCTTTAGGTAGTATGGACATTTTAATGATGTTATTTCTTCCAATCCATGAGCATGGTACATACTTCCATTTGTTTGCGCCTTCCTTAATTTCTTTCTTCAGTGTTCTGTGGTTCTCCAAGTATAGGTCTTCTTGGTTACATTTATTCCTAGATACTTTATTTTTCTTGTTGCTATAGGGGAGTCACTCATTTCAAACCCACTGTAGCATCTTCCTTTGGTCACAGTGTGTCCCTGGTTGGACTCAGAACTTGGTCTGTGACCTTCAGTGTTCTCTTGACAGAGAGATTCCTCCAGAGACTGGTCTTAGATCTTTGGGACATAATAATGATTTTCACTTATTCTTGCACAATTTAACTCAAAGTTCTGTCTCATAATGCCAAACACAAGTGGTCCATGCGGGCCATAATTCAGCAAATTCCAGCTCCCCCACTTCCCACAAGTCACCCCTTCTGTAATTGCTGTTGTCTGAGTGTTTGAGGAAGGGTCCTGCCCACTGCAGTGGGAGACAGGACACTAAAGACTGAGGGCAGAGAGCCTGGTTCTGCTGCCAAAACCAGCCAGCTCCCCTGTCCCTCACTATATTCCAAACCACTCCTGAACTCTGCTCAACCCTTTCTGAAGTCACTGTCTCATGTCAGTCACCAGTGAAATAGTCACCAGTCCTGGGCACACTGCCCAACTCGTGGCCCTGCAGCCTCAGTCCTGAACTTGCTTCTGGTCTCCCTGTGTATTGTTTCTGCTCAACCACCCAGTCCCAGGCCACACGGCCCAGTCTCGTCAAGGTATAAGGACTATGGGATGTCTCTTCATGACTCATCTCTAGAATAACCTTGGAATATCAGGCTACCGTGGAAACACATCTTGACCCGGTAATGTAGGTCTGTGTAGCTTGAAGGGACTCAGCACCTGCACATTCCATATAAGATCTCAAGATTGGTCAGGCAGTCAGCTGGTCAGTGAAGAACCAGGACAAGTACCCAGTGGTCTCTTGACTCCCAGGCCTACATCTTCCCATGATCAAACCCTGATACTCTAACTGACTTCTGAGAAAGTCTGTACTTTCTCCAGACACAGACCTGGAGGACTTACGTTCTCAGAGTGCTCAGGTCAGATCCTTATACATCTGTTTGTCTTGAGATACACAGACATGGCTTATTCTTTTAAGGATTCAAGTTAGCTGAGAAGTGAGAGGTGCCAACTCTGATTGAAGACACCTTGAAAAAGTCAAAGGTACCACCCAGGGCAATGTTCTCTCTGTTACCTGCACAGTGGAGTTACCCAAACCCAACGTCACAAGCAACAACTCCAGTCCTGAGGAGCACAAGGACCCTGTCCTGTTAACGTGTGAACCTCACACTGAGGACACCACCTACCTGTGGCTGATCAACAATCAGAGCCTCCAGGACAGTGCCAGGCTGGAGCTGTCCACAGACAACAGGACTCTCACTTTGCTCCATGTCACGAGGAATGACACAGGTCCCTATGAGTGTGAAACCCGGAACCCAGTGAGTGTTGGCCACAGTGACCCCTTCACTCTGAATGTTCTCTGTGAGTAACTTCTGCCCCTGTGTGGTCCAGGCTGCCACCCAAATCCACACACCAGAGGCCACACTACATCCCTCTCAGTCCAAATACATAGACCCTCAACCTGGACCACCAGGCTGGCCATGACTTCTTGTCCAAGGAAAATCCAGGTGGGCCTGAGGGTTGGGACAAATGGGTTATCTCAGATCAGTGAACACAGGGGTTGTGGGTGGGACTTTTTACAACAAGACTGGGGCCCAGCTCAGAGGAACACTGTGGTCCTTACACAGACCAGAAGCATCCATCCCCTTCCCTCTGATGACATCCTGTGTGGCTTTGCTCTGTTTGCTCCAGATGGCCCGGACACCCCCTCCATTTTTCCCTTGGACTCCCATTACCCACCAGGGGCAAACCTCAGCCTCTCCTGCTATGCAGCCTCTAACCCACCTGCACAGTATTTTTGGCTTATCAATGGGAGGCCTCAGCAACCCACACAGGAGCTCTTTATCCCCAACATCACTGCAAATGACAGTGGATCCTACACCTGCCTCGCCCATAACTCTGTCACTGGCCTCAATACGACCACAGTCAAGAATATCACAGTGACTGGTAAGTGCCTCCTGGACCATCAGCACTGAGCTCTGGGGTGGAGGTCAGTCTGGTTTTCAGAAAAGAGCCTGGGTACTGACTCCCTCCTGTGCCCATGGACACAGAAAATCACCAGTTCTTCCCCTGAACCTTCCCCCACATCTCTGTAGTCTCTCTCCTCCCCTTGCTTTTTTGATTTCTTAGGGCAGAGCTGGGGTCCAGTCTTAGAAAGAGAGGAAGGGGTTCTCTCAGCCTCAGAAAAGACCTGTGTGGTGGATGGGGCCTCACAGAGGGGAAAAGCAAGGGGCCTCATGGTCAAGTTGCTTCTTCTGTCATTAATACATTCTTTCTGTCACTTCCTTCTTTTCTGTGACCACTCCATGTGCTCCAGGGAACACAGGAGGCTTTGAGTCAAGCTCACCCCTTTCTCCCCAAACCAAAAGGTGAAACCCCCTCAAAGGAGGGTAAGCAGGACAGACCCCTTGCTCCCTGCTCTAGGCTCACCTGGTGCCTGACTCTGCTGCCCCGTGCTGGGACAGGAGCCCTGGAGGAGTTCCATGGGTGCCCTGTCCTCAATCTGGCCAAACTAAGCTACCCACCAACACCAGAGCCTCCCTCTGGCCAGGATGCTAGAAACAGCCACAGTGTAGCAGCATCTGAGCTTTGTCCTGGCTCTGAGGCCACCATAGACCCCATCAGTAGAGAGGATGCTGGGGATTATCAGTGTGAGGTCTCCAACCCCATCAGCTCCAGAAAAAGTGACCTCTTCAGGCTGGGTGTACAAGGTAATTGACCACTGGCCCCACCTTCCACCTTTTTGGGATGATTGCTCTACCAATGGTGTTGGAAATGGAGAGAAGTCACGGGGGCAGAAGGTCAATTAAGATACCATTTCAGTAAACAGGATGGCAAAATGGTTAAGAGTTCAGCCTCTGAATCACATATTCTTAATTTCTTATCCTGGGTCTAGTATTCACTGCTACCTTGCACATGGCTTTTTATTACCATTTTTATGTAATAAAATATACATAATATTTTACCAAGCAGTTCAGTGGGAATAATACATTCATATCAATGAGTGTGCAACTATCACCACTATCCACTTCCGGAACATTTTCATCTTTCCGCACTATGACTCTGTATCCATTAACTCCTCACTGCCCTATTGCCAACCCCTGGAAACCACTATTCAAGACAGTTTGTATCAGTGGAACCATATGATATCTGCCCTTTTGTATCTAGCTGATTTCACTTATAGTATTGTCAAGGTCCACCCATGTTGTGCATATATCACAATTTCATTCCTTTTAAGCAGGGGTGTCAAACGCATATTCATTGGGGGCCACATCAGCCTCACAGTTGCCTTCAGAGGGCCGAATGTAATTTCAACTCCTTAACAGTCAAGGAGTAGTTACATTTATACAGTCCTAAAATTATCTCAGCCCTTTGAGGGCAACCATGAGGCTGATGTGCCCCCTGGTTAACATGAGTTTGACACCGCTGCTTTTAAGGTTGAGTAATAGTCCCTTGTATGTGTCCATCATGTTTTATTTATCATTCATCCATCCGTGAAGCTTCTGGGTTGTTTCTACCTTTTGCCTATTGTGAATAATGCTGTTGTGTACAAACATCTGTTCAAATCCCTGCTTTTAATTCTTTTCAGTACATACCCAGTAGAATTGCCTGATCAAATAGCAATTCTTTGTTCAATTTTTTTGGTGAACTGTCATACCATTTTCCACAGTAGCTGCATCACTTTAGATTCCTACCAGCAATGTATAGAAGTTCCAGTTTTTCCCCATCCTTGCCAACAGATTGTTTTCTGGGCTTTTGGGGTGTGTGTGTGTGTGTGTGTGTGTGTGTGTGTGTGTGTGTGTGTTTCAGTAAGTCATCTTGATGGGTATGAGGTGCATCTCATTGTGGTTTTGATTTGCATTTCCCTAATGATTAGTGATGCTGAGCATCTATCTGTTCATGTGCTTATTGTCCATTTGCAAGTCTCCTTTGAAGAAGTGTCTACTCAGTTCTGGACATTTTTAATTGGATTTTTTGTTGTTGTTGAGTTGTAATAGGTATTTATATATTCTGGATATTAATCCCTTACCAGACATATGATTTTCAAATATTTTTCCTATTCCGTGTGTTGCCTTTTCACTTTATTGACAATACCCTTTGCCACACAAAAGTTTTTAATTTTGACAAAGTCCAATGTATCTATTTCTCTTTTTTGAGTTTGCATTTGGTTTCCTATCCAAGGAATCATTGCCAAACCCAATGTCATAAAGCTTTTACCCGATGTTCTCTCCTGAGAGTTTTTTAGATTTAGCTCTCACATTTAAATGTTTGATCCACTGCAAGCTAATTTTTTGTATAGCATTAAGTAAGAAATCAAATTCATTCTTTTCCCTGGATGATATCAAAACTGGATGTCCAGTTTTCCCAGCACCATTTCTTGTAAAGACTGTCCTTTCCCTGTTGGATGGTCTTGATGCTCATGTCAAAATCATCTGACCACATATGTGAGGGTTTATTTCTGGGCTTTCTGTTCCATTGGTCTATATGTCTGCCTTTATGTCTGTCTTTGTACCACACTGTTTTTACTGCTGTGGTTTTGTAGTGAATTTTGAAATCAGGAAGTTGAATCCTCCAACTTTGTTCTTCTTTTTCCAGATTGCTTTGACTATTTGGGGTCTCTTGAAATTCCATATGAATTTTAAGATAGGTTTTTCTGTTTTTACCCAAAGAGTATCATTGGGATATTGATAGGGACTGCACTGAACCTGAAGGTCACTTTGGGCAGTACTGTCACCCTAACGACATTAAGTCTCCTCATCCATGAACACAGAATGTCTTCCCATTTATGTCTTTAATTTTTTCTTCTCAGCAATGTTTTTTGTAGGTGTCCAGTATGTCTTTTACCTCCCTGGTTAAGTTAATTCCTAAATAAGTTTATCCTTGTTGGTGCTGCTATAAATGGATTTCTTAATTTCCTTTCTGAATTTTTCATTGTTCTTATACAGAAACACAACTGATTTTTACATGTTGATTTAGTATCTTCAACTTTGCTGAATTTATTCCTTCTAACATTTTTTGTGAGATAGAGTTTTCTACATATAAGATCATAGCTTATGCAAACAGAAATAATTTTATGTTTTCCTTTCCTATTTAATTGCCTATTATTTCTTTTTCTTGCCTAATCACTGGTTAGTGGCAGTCGGTTTTTTTCTTTTTATTTTGTTTTATCTAAGTATTCTTTGTTGGCATACAATGATTTTTTTTTTTATTTCTTTTTTATTGATTATGCCATTACAGTTGTTCTGTTCCCCCCCTTCATTCCCCTCCACCCTGCGCCCCTGTCCCCACCATTACCCTCCCTTTAGTTTATGACCATGTGTCTCAAGTTCTTTAGATTCTGTATTTCCCATACTATTCTTGCCCCCCCCATCTATTTTCTATCTGCCATCTATGCTACTTATTTTCTGTACCTTCTCCCCCCTTCTCTTCCTTCCACTCCCCTGTTGCTAAACCTCCTTGAGATCTTCATTTCTATGTTTCCACTCCTGATCTAGCTGTCCTTTTAGTTTGCTTTTGTTTTAGGTGTGGTTGTTAATAACTGTGAGTTTGCTGTCCTTTCACTGTTCATGTTTTTTTTAACTTCTTTTTCTTAGATAAGTCCCTTTAACATTTCATATAATAAGGGCTTGGTGATGATGAACTCCTTGAATTTGATCTTATCTGAGAAGCACCTGTATCTGTCCTTCCATTTTAAATGAAAGTTTTGCTGGATAGAGTAATCTTGGTTGTAGGTCTTTGGATTTCATGACTTGGAATACCTCTTTCCAGCCCCTTCTTGCCTGTAAGGTCTCTTTTGAGAAATCAGCTGACAGTCTGATGGGGACTCCTTTGTAGGTGACTGTCCCCTTAGCTCTTGCTGCTTCTAGGATTCTCTCCTTCATTTTAATTTTGGCTAATGTAATTATGATGTGCCTTGGTGTGTTCCTTCTTGGGTCCAACTTCTTTGGTACTCTCTGAGCTTCCTGGATTTCCTGGAAGTCTATTTCCTTTGCCAGATTGGGGAAATTCTCCTTTATTATTTGTTCAAATAAGTTTACCACTGGTGGCTGTTCCTTTTCTCTTCTGGTACCCCTATAATTCGGATGTTGGAGCGTTTAAAGATGTCCTGGAGGTTCCTAATACTCTCCTCATTTCTTTGAATTCTTGCTTCTTGACTCTTTTCTGTTTGGCCATTATTTGCTTTCTTCTGGTCCACTCCATTGATTTGAGTCCCAGTTTCCTTTTCATTGCTATTGGTGTCCTGTGCAATTCCATTCATTTCAATTAGTTTTGCCTTCATATATTTGTCTAATTTGTGGCCGTATAATCAACCAGTTCTGTGAGGATCTTGATCACCAGTGTTTTAAACTGTGGGTCTGTGAGTTTTGCTATTTTTTCATCGCTTAGATTTATCGGCTCTGGGGCTTTGAGATCTTCTTGAGCCATTTTTGGTCTGTTTGTGCCAGTTAAGTGTGAGGAGCAGAGCCTTGGACTCCCAGGTCGCTGGGTTGTGACGCTGTATGTGGGGGTATGGTCAGAGCAGGGAAATGGTGGTACCCTCTGCTGCTGCTTGCAGCTGGGGCCTGCTGGGTCCCGTCTAACCACCCATTCCCTCGCTGGTCTATCTGGCCACGAATGCGTGACCACAGTCAAATCTCGGCCCTGCTCCCTCGCTGGTTCCCCGAGGTTGTTCACTGGGTTGCTCACTAGGTCCACCTGTTGCAACTCTGCGCCTGGGGTCTGCACGCCTGAGTCCGTCTGACCGAGTTTTCTTGTGCAACCCCAATCCGCCAGCCGCTGGTTTCACTCCTCTTACCGGTCAGGCTGAAGAATTTGTTGTTATCAGACTTCCGAAAAGTTCAATTTTCTGTGTTCTGGCTGTGTTTTCTGTTTCTAATATTTAATTGTCTCTAAACTTGGTTGTGTGAGAAAACAAGGCATCTCCACCTATGCCTCCATCATGGCAGAAGTCAGATTTTATTTATTTTTATAGAGAGGAGAAAGAAGAGAGAAAGAAGAGAGGGAGAAAAACATCAGTGTGTGATTGCCTCTCACACACTTCCAACCAGGGACCCAGCCCGTAAACCAGGCCTGTGCCCTGACTGGAAACTGACCTGGCGGCCTTTCGGTTTGCAGGTTGGCACTCAATCCACTGAGCCACACCTGCGAGGGCAATAGCACTATTATAATTCCTATTGGTTCTGTACAATTGGTAGTAATGTTCCCACTGTCATTTCTGATTTTAGTGATTTAAATCTTATTATTATTTTTTTAGTCAATCTACTTAAAAGTTTGTCCATTTAGTTAATCTTTTTTTTTTTGAGGAACAAATTTTTGGTTTCATTGATTTTCTCTATCGTTTATCCATTCTGTATTTGATTTATCTACACTCTAATCTATCTATTTATTATTCCCTTCCTTCTGCTACCTTTGACCCTCTTTCTCTAGTTTCTTAAGTTGTAAAGTTAGGTTATTGATTTGAGGTCTTTCTTCTTTTTAAAGTAAGCATTTACAATTACAAATTTCTTTTTTAATTATTTTATTGTTGTTCAATTACAGTTGTCTACAATTACTCCCCACCACTCCTTCCCCACCCCAGCCAAATCCTCCTCCCTCCCTTGCTTCCACCCCACGCTTCGTTTTGTCCATGTGTCCTTTATAGTTGCTCCTAAAAACCCTTCTCCCCTTTCCGCCATTACTCCCTCCCACCTTCCCTCTGGTTACTGTCAGATTGTTCTTAATTTCAATGTCTCTGGTTATATTTTTCTTGCTTTTTTCTTTTGTTGATACAATTACAAATTTCTTGCACAAGATTCTTAACTTCTCTGAACCTCATATTCCACAACTGGAAGTTATTTCATGAAATACTATTTCATGAAATAACTATTTGTGGTATTGCTTTAAATATTTAATGTAATGATCAGTTAACCCCTTAACAAAATGCCATACACAGTGGAAATGGTCCGTGTTAGCTACTATTATTATTACTGTTACCATTAGCCTCTAGGTAGTCCAGTAGCCCTAAAGTCAAATCCCAGATCTACCTCATGCTAATTATATGACTTTTGGAAATTTTTCACCACTCTAAAGCCTCTCTTTTTTCACCAGTAAAGTAAAATAATATCTATCAGACAGGGTTATTATAGGAATCAAATGAGATGTAAGTAGAGGATTTAGCACAGACCCTGGCACATAGTAAGTACCCCTAACAGTAGCCAACATGAATATAAGTCATCGGTCTTGAGTTCACTAGTGAGGGCAACAGAAATAAAAAGAAGAAACAGATGAAAAGTGATTTATTTGGGGGAGTGGCAGGGGCATTACACACAAAATTCACTGGGACATGGTCACTGACTAAATACAGGAAAAGAAAAAAGGAGTTGAGTGCAAAGTTTCAAGTCCAGTTTGTTAGTTTTCATCACCTGAGATAAAGCCAACATAGGACTAGACATACAAAGTATTTACTGGAAAAAAATGCCTGCGAAGGAAAGTGGGATGGAAGTGGGAAGAGCAGCTCTGATTCCTGTGAAGGACAAAGAGAAGAGAGTGTTAGGCTGCAGTGCAGTTAAGAGAGTGTCTGCAAGGCTAACAGGGAGACCTTGAGCTAAAGTCGCCCATAGGAGGAAATCGTTTCTCACAGAATTGAGCTTACTTTGTGTCCTTGCTGGGAGCCCAGGGAAGCATGGTCTCTGTGCAAAGGAGGTGGTTAAGGCACCACTGTTCATCGCTTAAGTCCCCCACCACAGGAGACCTGAGTGGCACATGTGCATGGCCACCATACCTGATACACAGGAAACATGCAACCATGAAAAGGTGGAAAGTGAAAACCTACAAAAATGGCAATCAGCCTTTCTTACATTTCCAAAGCTCTAAAAATATCTGAGTACGGAAAGAACAAGCTGGAATTGAGGCAAGTCTGACCACCAACCTAGAAATACTGTGAAAGAAAGAAATTTCAAAAACCTCATAGAAGCCTTCCCACAGAAAATGTGTTCCTAGGGGGAACAAGTAGAGACTTCTTCAGGTTGAGAGTTGTTTCCCACTGTAAAATAATGTCACCTTCATTCGTTCTTCTCTTTTCTTGACAGCTGATTCAACACCATTAACTCCTGGCCTCTCAGGTGGAGCCATAGTCGGCATCGTGATTGGGGTCCTGGCCGTGGTAGCTTTGATAGCAGCCCTGGTGTACTTTCTGTATATCAGGAAGACTGGAGGGTATGATGGCCTTTCCTCTTGCCCTGCTTTCTCAAAGGCTAATTGCCATGCTTGGAGAGACAAGGAGATTCCCCTCCTTCTCTGGGCCTGGATCTGCTCTGCCTCCTTCCCAAACCCCTGCTTTTCAGTACTAATCCCTGCAGCCTCTTCTTCCCTGGTCTTCAAGCTTCCTGTGCCCCACTCTCTCTGGGACATGGTTATTCCCATCCCTGTCTGGTTTAGAGAGACAGATCCGATCATATTTATTCATTTTCCCAGTCAGGGAAACAAGATCCAAGAAGAAAAATGAAAAGAGGAGCAGGAGAAAGTGAGTTGTGTGCTCTGTCAACCACAGGGAGATAAGGGGAAGAGAGGGACAGGACAACAAGAGAACCTAAGAAAAAGCAGAAACCAAAGGCCTCTTGAGCAATAAATTGAGTGAGAATAAAAACAGCATCTACCTACAAAAGAGAAAGGTGCAGGGTAGAAGCAGGCTCAGAAGCAGTTGATAAAAAAGGGACCTATGTGAACATCAGGCCAGCAGGAAAGGGGTGCTCACTAGAGGGGGTGATGGATGGTCGGTACATTGAGGAGGAGGCACTAGACCTGGTGTAAATAAACACGGGAAAGCCCCCAAGAAATCATCTGCTGACAGTGTCCTTCCTACTTCAAGGAGCAAAGGACTTATGCTTGGGAACAGCAGTCACAGTCTCTGATATTTATTTAGGGCAAGCGACCAGCAGGATGTCACAGAGCACAAACCCTCAGCCTCCAACCACAGTAAGTAAAGCTATCACCCGGTGTGAGCTGGTGTGTTCCACCATGTGGCCTGCCCTAGCAGGGAATCCTGGATTCTCACATACCCAGTACCATCTGAATTTTTAGAAGGCATCTCCATTTCCCAACCTTAGATTGAGGTAAGCCCTCACACCCTTCTAGCCACAGAAAATTCCCCTGAGACCCAGCCCTGGGTGAGACTCAGCCATCCAGGCAGGATGGGTAAGATGGACATGTTTCCAGGAGCCATTTCCACCTTCCCCACTGCCTCTACTATGGATGCGGGCTCCTTTCGTGAGACTTTTCCTGTCTTGTGGTGCTCTGGGTGCTGCAGGTTTCAATGCCCCTCCTTGCCACTGGTGCCTGCTGCTGAGGAACACACCTGGGCAAAAGCAAGGCCTTGTGAACAGGAATAAATCTTCAGAAGTGGACTGAGGCTCTACTCTCGCCACCTCACCACCACCTCTATTACTAACACCGTGGGTCTAAACCACAGGCTCTGAGGGAAGTGTATTCCGTGGTCATGGGCCACCTCCCCACCCCCTCCCCTCACTACCTGCCACCTCCTTCAACTAAAAATCACAACAGTTTAGGAACACCATGTACATAACACCAAAAGACAGCTTTGCATTTTCAGGGATCGGTAACTCTTCTTTCACTTCCCCAGGTCAGGACCATTCTGAGAACTCACCTAACAAGGTAAGCACACGGCTTCCACTGGCTCATTTTCTCATGGAAGTACCTCTGTGTAAAGTGGGTTACTCTTGAAGACACAAACGTGATCAAGTGTGGTCCAAGTTCCTCAACACAGCAACAAAGATGTATTGGTTAACTACTCTTGTAGGCCTACCTCATGCAAAATGTGGGCTCTGGAGTTATTCCCATCTTGTATTTGAATCTTGGCTGTGACTATTAGTAGTTCTGTGATCTCAGGCAAGTGACTTAGCCTCTTTGATCCCCCACTTTGTTATCTGTGAAATGGGCATGCTGCCTACATCAGAGACAAGTTGGAGGAATGAAAGGAGATAAATGCAAAGTGCCCGCACCATGCCCAGCACGATGAGGGCACTGGGTCATTCTCCCTGCTCCACCTTCAGTCTGACCTTGCTCTTCCTGTCAAGGAATAACATCCATTCCAATGGGTCTGAGGTCTTAGGTCTTCTAGTGTAAAATAATTATACCTATTTCTCTCATTTAGCCTTTCGAAAGAACACACATACATATTTAAAAGTGCTTAAGCCATATGTGTATGTTAACAATGTATATATTACCATGAATTAAACATACCATTGTAGGAAACACTGAAATCAAGAAACATATCATCCCTCTGCAGAATGAAACCCTCCAGTCCCTTCCTTTTAAAGAGTGGCCACTATCCTGACTTCTAAAGCACTACATTAGTTTTGCCAGTTTGTGATCTTACATTGAAAAACACAGTATATCCTTATATGCACCTGGTTTCTTTCATTCAGAATGGTTTGTGAGATCCATCCATGCAGTTGTATGCATTTACAGCTGCTCGTTCCCATTGCTGTGTCGTCGTAATCTGTTGTATGAGTGCCATAGTCTGTTTCTCCCAATGACCATTCAAAAGACGCCAGCAAGCAGAGAGAAGGGGTGATGAAAGCCCTTCTCCAAGGGTAGGAGTTTCAGAGTGGTGAGAGCAGGGGTGCGGAATCACACCAGACAGGTGAGGTGTGGGCCTGCGATACTGATTTAACTGACTGCTGCTCATGCCTTTCAGATTCATGAAGTTACATATTCTTCCCTGAACTTCAACGCCCAGGGAGCAAAGAAACCAACTTCAGCCTCCCCATCCCCAGTAGCCACAGAAATGATTTATTCAGAAGTGAAAAAGAAGTAATGCAACCTGCCCTGCTTGCCGCACTGCTGGCTTACCCCAAGCTTCTCATCCCCATAACCAGGAGATCCCTTTACTCTCAGGAAAAAGAAGAAGCCTCTTTCCCCATGACCTTTTCACTTCCTCTTGCTGCAGCACCTCCAGGCTCCTGGTCACAGCCCCTCCCTTCCATGTTTACAGATGAAAAAGCACATCCGGGTCTGTAGGAAGCCCAGCCTTCTCTGTCATTGAAATTTGGCAAACCAGACCTTGGGAGAGAGTTGCCAGAATCTGCTGCCCCTCCCCACTTTCTGACCTAGACTTGTTCTACACTTACCTACTCAGCGCACACTCGTTCCTTTCTGCCTTAGTCCCGCTGGCCATAACCTTGAGAGTTATGCCCTTATCCACTGAAATGCATGTGCCACAGAAGAAGAGAGAGAAAAAGTAGAAGCTTCTCTTCTCTCTCCAAAACCCAGTGTGAACCCACCACACACAGGAAAACAAATGTGTAACCAGTTCTCAACAGAAAAGGTCTATACCTTTGCCTGTTGTCAAGGTGTCTACCAGTAGGACCAGAGTCCAAACACCTTGCCGCTTGGCTAGAATACCACCTGAGTCCTTTGGCAAACCTGTCTTCAGAGAACTCACCAAAAAAATGCATGTATATTTTCATAACTTCAAGTGTTTTTATTCAAGGAAATGTCTACAGATGGAGGAGGTTGCAGTTTTAGGGGGAAGTCAGCTCCCAATAGAGATGATCTGAAAATTTCAGAAAGCAATCAGAGGTTCCTTTTAGAGGTTATTTAAATAATTATAAGGAACATATAATTTGGGATATTGGGGCTTTTCCTGTTTCTCTGAAACATTATGCCATTTTAACTTTTGTAACTTCTTATTTATGTGAAAGGGGTTATTTTTACTTGGCTTTGCTGTGTGAACCAACCTGAGGGCCATAAGGTGAAAGAAGCCACCAGAATCCCTCAGGACCCTTTGGCCAGGAGTTTCTCGAGGCTGATACTTCAGGGGCTCCAGACAAAAAGCAGAATCAGTTTCTTCATTCTCAGCTAGAAGCGGGTCTGTCAGTTTCCAGGCACCTCAGGCCCACCATCAACCACCATTCAGTTCCAAGTTCCTGCCTGTGCATGTTGTCACTTTCTCAGGGAACCCTGGCTTCTGCTCAGGGGTACTTGGACCTCGAGGAGAGGGCGCCCTGATGCAAGCACTGTCACTCACGCTGTTGACACGGTTTACAAGCCAGAGAGCTGCCCTGGTGCTGATGCTCCCAAGGACACAAGGGAGGATCACACTGGGCTCCAGGCTCCTGGAGCAGCCTCTGAAGTCTGTTTCCTCCCATGGGAGAGATATGCCAGAATAAAGACGAAGAACAGGGAGAGGCAGATGTACTGCACTCCCAGACTTATGCACATGTGACTCTCTCTGAGGCTGCTGAGAAAGGGTTTCTTCGATGTGGATTACTCACACTGTGTATAAGAGGCCCCGCCAAGAGGGTTAGGTGGGAGTTCTCTGTGCCCAGGTACCTCTTTCAGGGTTTGCTAACCCTGACACCGACCACATGTACTTACCCTCATCTACGATATTCTGTGTTATTTAACTTTGCCTGGCTGAGGCCGCTTTCAAATTATTTGTAAAATTTGTTTTCTATTTATAATAAATAAATCATATATCAGACATCAACATGCTGTTTCACCGTGATACTGCTTTTAGACAATATCTTCTTTATGGGTACAAGGAAGAGAAATTACTGAACTGAGAGTCGCGGCCTATTTGTAAGCCTACAGATATTTGACCTAGTGGTCAGAGAATTAGCAAAACTCATTTGCGCACCAGCTAGCAAAGTGAGTCTATTCAGTAGCAACAGCCCACGGGGGCAACCTGCCTGGAAGAAACTGCCTGTTTTCCTCTAGAAAAGAAGGTGATTTCACGAGTAAAATCCTTCCCAGCCTCTTTATTAGGGACGAATAACACTTCTTACACTGGTGGCTCATGTGAACCAGGTGCAGCCACAGGCCTTCCCTCACAGGAGTCTCCATGGGTTCCATCCTTGTAGAAATCTCTCTAGCACCTTCTATCTTCCTGTGCCCAGGTCCTTTACTCTCCTCGTGTGGTCGGAGCTCTTCTAACCTGAATAACCTTCATTTATTAATTCCACTAAGTATTAGCCTGTTATCTCTTTCCCTTCATGTCCAAGGGATTTAAGCATATGCTCTTTTCCTTTCTCATCACCCAGTTCCTCCTCCACCCCCAAGATGCTAAAAGCAGCATAAAATCAGTATCCATCTCTTGGTAAAATTCGAAGATATTTTCACTGTCCTCCCATTGTTCACTTTTACAGCATCTAAGACCACGAAATAACTTTCCCCTCTTGAGTGTCCTCCTCCTGTCCCCCACCTGTGCACTGCACCCCACACATGAGGGTCAGCACTCAGACCCTGCGGGCTGCCTCTACACCCCCCTGTCCACCAGCTCCAGTGACCTCTGTGCCAATGGCTCTTGCCACTCCGTCTCCAGCCCCTACTGCTTCCCAGATCTCAGGCACTCGCATCCCAGTACCTTCCAAGATTAACCTGCATTTGAACTGGCTTTCCCCCACAGCTCACTTGTTTGTCTCAGTGACACCACTGTTCCTCAGGCCTTGCTTTCTGTTTCCCAGATTCGATACAGTCAAAGCCTGTTGATTCATTTTTATCATCTCCCAGTTGTGCCCTTCTCTCCATTCCCATAAACCTAAATAATCCAGGCTCTCAACAACTGGTGGGAATACAGCTTGACTTTTTGTCTTTGGTGTCTACTGAGCTCTGTCTGTCTCACAGGCAACTACCACACTACCTTCCTAAAACCTGGTTTGTTCTTCTACTCAGGAATCTACAATGGCTTGCTTTGCCTTACCAGGTAAGTTCAAATTTCTTCCTCTCTACTAATAGTACCTATTCTCTTTACCACTACTCTCTAGTATAATTCTTCCATTCTAATTAGATGGTTCCCCTTACCCATCCCTGCCCATCTACCTAGACACACATAGAATTCCTAGACCCAATGCTATGCCTGAAAACAAATACCACACAGGGCAATGTTCCTTCTGTATTCACAGAGGAGTTACCCATACCGGTCATCACCAGCAACAACTCAGGCCCTGGGAAGGACAGGGAGCTATAGCATTAATGTGTATACCTGAGACTCATAAAACACCCTACCTGTGATTGAGACTCTTCCTAATGACAAATTTATGTGCCCATGAAATTTTTTTTAAGATTTTATTTATTTGCTTTTAGAGAGAGGAGAAGGGAGGGAGAAAAAAAAAGGAAAGAAACATCAATGTGTGGTTGCCTCTCACATGCCCCCTACCAGAGACCTGGACCACAACCTAGGCATATGCTCTGACTGGGAGTTGAACCAGGGACCCTTTGGTTCACAGGCCAGCACTCAATCCACTGAGCCACACCAGCCAGGGCATGTCCATGTAATTTTTATAAAGCATCTACTATGCTGTAAGTCTCAGTGTTAGATCCCAAGAAAAAGACAGAAATGAAAGAGACAGGGTTTCTACTTTAAGGAAGATGAATGCTAAAACAAGAGAGAAGAGATTAAAAACTATTATAATACAAAAATAGAAAGAGATAAATACCACAAGAGTAGACACAGAGAAATCCGATGGGAAATATGGCTACTCATTAGAATGAGTAGGAATGAGAGGAATTTTAAAAACAACTGATACTTGGTCCTCACCAAGAGATTTCAATTTAATTAGTGTGACATGGAACCCAGGCTCTAGTCATTTTGTAAAGCTTCCCAGATACTTTTTAACATGCAGCCAGGTTGGAGAACCTCTACTGTCATGGGTAGCAGAACCTAAAAGTGGTATTTTGAGCCTAAAAGTGGTTTTTAGCCAGAAGTATAAATCACAATGACCTAGGGAATTTTTTCAACATACATAACAAGCTTACAAACCATCCCTGAAGAAGTTGATATGGTATCTGGAGTGAGACAAAGGCTTGTTATTGTGAAAAAACTCCCAGGTGACTCTCACATATATATTCCATGTTATGAAACACATAAAACACAGGTAGAACTAAAAAATGGAGGAGTTGGGAGATCATTCCACAAGATAAACATAACATGAATAATGTATTTTGCAAGGCATCAAGAAGTACTCAAAAAATTATTGGCATATAGCTAAACTTTAAGACACTGATGATACCAAGTGTTGTGAGGAGGGGAAACAACCCATATTCTTACATATTGCTGATGGAAATACAAAAGGAAACAACCACTCTGGAAGAGAGTTTCACATTTTCTTATAAAGTTAAACATACAGTCCAGCATTCCCTCTCCTAGGTATTTACCCAAGAGAAATGGAAGTAGCTATCCATACAAAGAGTTATAAAGGCATAAAAAATGGAAAAGAAGGAAGGGAGGAAAGGGAAAAATTATGAGATAATTGCAGAAATCTGAGCATTGAACATTTTATGATATTGAGGATGTATTAATTTTTAGTGTGAGAATAGTACTGTGGTTATTTTTTAAAGAATTTATTTATTTACTTTTAGAGAGAAGGGAAGGGAGTGAGAAAGAGAGGGAGAGAAGCATGCAAGAAAGATACAACGATTGAGTGTATCTCACACGCCCCAAATTGGGCATCTGGCCTGCAACCAAGGCATGTGCCCTGACTGAGAACCAAACCAGCAACCTTTCCATTTGCAGGGAACTTTCAATTCACAAGCCAGTACTCAAGCCACTGAGCCACACCAGCCACTGCATGGTTATGTTTTTTTTTAAAGCCCTTATATGCTAGTAATACAACTGAAATACAGGAGTGGGCAAAAGTAGGTGTACATTTGTTCATATGGAAAATAATACAATAATTAATAAGTAACAATACAAGAATAAACTCTGTGCTTTGTGTATTCACAACTGTAAACCCACTTTTTCCCACTCCTGTATTAAGAGATGAAATGAACTGATGCGTAGGGTTTGCTTCAGAACAATCCAATTTGGGGGAGGGGGTGTAGATGAAACAAGATTGGCCATGAAATAATTGCTGAAGCTATATGATGAGCTTCATTATTTTATTAGCCCTATCTTTGCAACTATCTGAAATTTTCCATTAAAAAATTCCTTGCTCTCCAGAAGGTTATAACACAAGGAGTCAGATATTCCAACACATAGAACACCATGTATTTAAACAAAACAGACACACAGTGCTACTCTTACCAAACCAAACCAGGTCCAGTTACTCAGTAGTAGCCAGCCAAAAGACAACTCCAAGAAGATTCTACGAGAAGGAACTTTATTGCAAGTCAGCAAGTACATATCAGGAGTCACTTCCCAAAGCCCTATGTCCCCCAAAAAGGATTGAATTAAGCATTATTCAGGGAAATCATACATAAACAATAAAGTGAGCTTCATCATCGCAGGTATAGGTGGGGATAAGCAGTTCCTGAAAAACGGCTCTGGCAATAAATGTTAGTGGTTAGTGATGGTAGTAGCAGTATCTCAGCCCACAATACAACAAATGGCCATACATACACTGCATGGTCAAAAACAGAGGAAAATTTTCACCCCCTAGCAGGAAATTTTAGTATTATAATGAGAAAAGTTCATAAGAAGGGTCTTCCAAGCTGCTTTGGCCAGTCTTGTGGTTTCAGCTGGATCACCCCCCAACTCCCACACTCCCCCACCCCCCATCCCACCCTGGGCTTGCTCTGAAAAACAGCTCTGGCAATATCAATGTCAGGGATGGCATAGCTGTGGAAGGAAGTTTAGCTAATTAAGTCTCAGCCTTTCAGTTAAAGACTTAGCAAATTACAGGATATGGTTAAGCAAAACTTATAAAATCTCATGGGTGTGTTGTGGGAAATTTTCAGTTATTCTTGCCAACAGAGTAAAGAATTACAGATCAGCGAGTCCATTAGTATGCAAGCAAAGTTATTAGTGATATAGTCTCATAGAAGAAAAGGGCCTTGCAAAGGCAGGGCAGAAAAGCATAGGTAAAAGCAAGGAAAAAGTGGCAAGGCATCAGGTCCTTTGTCCTGAGGAATTATATAGTTGGCAGGATGGGGTGAGGGAGTTACATATTGAGTGGTGGGTAAAGGTGGTGCCAGCTTCCCCCAAGGGTGCTGGGAAAGGAAAATGACCACCTAAACTTAGACATGTGTGGAAGGTTGTTAACCCAGAATTCTTATCTTGTTCCAGACCACATTTGTTCATCTTGTTGTAAAACAGATAACATGACAGGGGGCAGTTAATTAAAGTTGAGGCAGTTACCAGAAGTCATTTATGGGCTTTTTCTTTGAGTACTGTGGGCCCCCTCATAAAACAGAAGGTGGCCAGAGGCAGGCAATTAACCAAAGTTGTTTTAGGGGCTTTTTCTTTGGGCACTGTGGGCCCCCTCCTCTTCCTCCTTCTAGGCCTTGAGATGAATACACAGTTTCAAAGCCTTTCTTTCCCAGATGGTGGAAATGGTACAGAATTTCAAGGGGTCCCCTCCTCTTTCACTAGCATGGTGTTTCCTGTGATGTTCAGAACATCTGGCAACTTTATCAGACCAGGCTCAGGACTGCTGTGTTAGTAGGTGAGATACATCTCCCTCCTCTTCCCTGCCTTGGTTTACTATCTATCCTGCCTAACAGTTTAACAGGTTACTCTAAGTGAAGTTATGAATTCTAAATAAAAGTCTG